GCTAGCCGTTCCTAATTTAGGAGTGTAAGACTAGAGGGAAGGCAGTTAGTCATCACCACCCACCGCCAACTCTTGGGCTACTCTTTTACCAACGAATAGTGGGATTGACCGTCACATTATAACGCCCCCACGGCTGAAAGGGCGAGCATGTTTGTTGTGACGGGGATTCGAACCCGCGACCCTCAGGTTGCGAGTCGAGCACCTTAACCACCTGGCCATGCTGGGCCGCGAGGCTTAGTGGTTATCTTAATAATAAGCGGGTCTACGATTCGCTTCCTTTCATGGTAAAAAAGTTTTTCGGGGTCGTGGATGTACTTTAAAACTGACAGTCAAATCTCACTATTCGGTTAACAATAGTCCTGTGGGCGCTGTGGGCAACCGAAGATGACGTATTTCTCAAACTTTCATTTCAGTTTCATACGACATTAATAGAATAACGGTTTGTTAACAATCCACTAGGGGGTACAAGTGTTGTCCCCTTGACAAGCTTCTGACAACTTTGTTTATAAATATATTAAATATCATTAGTTTGTTAACAATCCCCTAGAGGGGCACAGGTAAGTGTCGCAACTTTGTTTATAAATACATTCAATATCAATACTTGGTCAACAATCCATTCTTAAGGAAGGGGGCAAGCAATGTTGCCCTTGACTTTATCACCACTTCTTTGTTCACCATACTGGTAATATCCAAACACTACTGCCCAGCTAGATCTAGCACTAATACTTTCTCGTGTCTTCACCAGAACGTGTTTAGTTCACAGTGTTCAGTACTACTATTAGTCTTCGTTGTGTCCACTGTGGGGAACTGAACGCTGGATGTTAGTGTTGTAAGTCCGTAAACTTACCACCAGAGGACTACTAGACAATATATAATTTAGTGAGTCTTAAAAAACTGATTGAGGACACCCATTTTTGCAAGAAACTCGTAGTTTTATTGAGAAGTATTATTCTTTCATGTGTATCCTTATATAACTTACGCTACATTATTTCAAACAATAAATACTGGTATAGGCCTAACTTTAGAATATATCAGCATAGACGAAGTTTTTGCTCAAAACGCAAGAATATAACAGAAATCTGAATTATTTGTTTTCAAACAACATTTACGAATCATCATTATTTTTATTAAGTAGACCTAAACACCACCGAGTAATGGATATTTCATATAGAAAAACAAAACAACTATAGTAGGTAGGTAACATACGTGAGATCATCACCAAACAAGCCAAAAAATTGAAAATTATGAGACATATCTCTCTTCAACTGTCACTTATCCACTATCAAAGCTTATCATGAAACCAGTAATAATGGGGCTGCTAAGTTTGTAGCATTTGAAAGAGAGAGAGAGAAAATAATAACATAGGATATACTTCAAACTACAAAGTTTTGTCAGTAGCAGACTTTTTAACATATTTACTCGTGTGACTAGGATTAAGAAAAACTATAAATGCAAGTATTGGTCAAGAAACAACATTTTGTAAGTTTTATATATTATTGTATAATAATAAACTCATTCATCATTATGAGATCATATACAAAACCTTCCATGTTTTTACTTTAATCTTTACACACATGATTTTATAAATTTAGTCATATTGAAATTAAGTAAACATATTATCAAACTTTTATTTAACAAAATTACTTATTGTATCTGTAATATTTTTATTTATCTTACTTTTCTTTACAACCCTGTATCTAAACTTTCCTAATGTTAAAAATAAATAATAAAACCATCATTACTTTAGTTTAGACATTCAAAACAAGAATCATGTATCTAAAGTTAAAATAAATAGAATAACACACAGGTTGGTAGAGAAAATTAAAACCAGTTTACTGGACAAATAAATGAAATCTCAATCTAACTAAAACACAAATGTTTTAAGGTATTGTAAACAATAAAACAAAACACTAAAAAAACAGAAACATAAAACTAAGAAGTGAATGATATGTTGATCCTAG